GGGGGGGGGGGGGCTAACTCCTCGGTATCTCTACGACGACGACGACGAGCAATGATTGAAGGATATTATTATTTCTAAATGATAATAAAGCTAGACCGGTTTTCTCGCATAGTATAACTTCTAGCCTCGCCTTGCTCTCATCCTATCTTTACTTACATACAGTCACCTTACTAACTCCTCGGGAAATGATTTTTTTGGAGTTAGTTACGGACCTTTCGTAGCTTCCATATATTCAAGACGTCTAACGAGATTTTGGCAAGAGAAATGAATTTCATGTCAGGTAAGTAGAATCGAGTCGCTACGCAAAAGTTCGTACGGGCAAAAAAAACAAGACTTTCTTTGTACAGTCAAATCCCTCAAAATTCTTCCACAGCCATCCCATTCATCCATCACAAGGAATTCAATTCCCCATTCGAAGTCTCATCCTAGCCAATCAATCAATCAATCAATCAATCAATCAATCAATCAATCAATCAATCAATCAATCAATCAATCAATCAATCAATCAATCTGACAATCAATCAATCCACAGAAATGTAAACAACAACAATCAACCTCCCCTTCTCCATCATTTCAAAAAAACACCCCTCAAACAACACTATGCCTAGCAAAAACACCCGACCCCTCGGCCTCCGGCCTAACCAAAACAATCATCCACAACCCGACCTGCCCCGTGTGATGAATCAAAGGAGTACAATGCAACCACCTCGTAACACCAGGTCCATCGCCATCTTCGCTGGGTTTGTGCAACCATCGCACTCGAGCGGTGACGCCGCCTTTGTTGCCTTCGCGCAGCGCTTCGGCGAGATTTTCGCGTACGCCGTTTTTGCGGCACACGCGGTGGAGGAAGGGAGATTGGACGATTCCGGGGACGCGCATGGTCGGGGACGCGAAGAGGACGCGGAGGGAGGGGTAGGGACGGATGAGGAGGTACTGGATTGGAGTGTTAGGGATGGGTTCTTTTTTTCTTTTTCTTTTTCTTTTTTCTTTTCTTTTTTTTTCTTTTTCCAAAAGAAGGAATTCATCATTGGTATAAGAATTCCCGGGGAAACATGAAAGAAAAAAGAGAAAAATGGGGAAGAGGAAATGAAAAACTCACATATCGATACACTCCTGACAAATTCCCCGGAGTCCCATCCATCGCTCCCGAAACAACATGTCTCGGATCCAACCCCTCATGAGCCGCATCCGCAGGCTCATCATGATCATCCGAATCCTCACTTCCATCCGCGAGCAACACTCGCGTACCAGGAGCGGGGGCCTTCGTCGTGCGAGTATCGAGCCAACGGCCCCGCTGCGCAGAGCCGCCATGTCGACGAATAATGTCCAATTCTGCGCCTGTGAACATTTCGCTGAGCGCTTTGACCTGCTCGAGAGGGTAGAGTTGGGGCACATCGTCGTCGTCGTGGGCGCCGGCGCCGGCAGCAGCAGAACCCTTGGATGCGGCTTGTCGTGCGATGAGTTCGCCCAGACTTTCGGTTCCGGCGCATTCTTTCAGGAGGGCGGAGACGTCGACTTGGGCTCCGAGGAAGTATCGGACGTTGCCTTGGCTAGGAAAGGGGGGGAGGGAGGTTAGTCCTGGATTTTCTCTGGGGCATCCTTCTCTTGGTGAGCAGCTTACCTATCCATGAGCGGAGCATTCATGACAAGACTCAGAAAGGGAGTTCCATCACGACGATAATTGACAAAAATCTCCGTGTGATCGCGCTTCTCCTGGCAGGACACGGCAAAGCGCCGACACGAATCGACCGTTGTGCCAGGTCCTTGCATGAATCGACAGTTGCGACCCAGAACATATTCGAGACTGCCACCTGAGTGACGCGTGAAACCTTCCGAAGCCAGGATCAATGGGTCGTCGCGAAGCCGACAGTCGGTGATGCAGAATCTACACGCGAGAAGTGAGTTAGAGAGACGTTTCTTGTCACATACGTCCCCCGCTGGCATCATCGTTCCTCGTCTCTCAAACCAAAAAAGAAAGAGGAAGAGAAACAATCCAAGAGCATGCGCAGATATTCATGATCCGACTTACACTTCCGCCAGTCTCCCACTGGCTTCGTCCAAATGCGCGGGCAGGGTGCCGGTAATGCGGCGCGTAACCAGCGCGCTCACAATCTTGACATACGTATGAGCAATGAAGTAATGCAAGTCATCCCTCAACAGCTCCGCAAACGCTTCTCTCGCAGCATCATGCAGACGAGTATTCTCGACCGGAGCCGGGGAGTGGGCACTTCCCATGGGCAGAGGAGACTTGCGAGCCAGCGAAACCGTCAACGAATTGGCGTAGTCCTGCGCTTTGATGGCTTTGTATGCTTCGCTGTAATACGTGAGAATGGGCACTCTCCAGGGCCGGTATTTGCGCATGAATCCGAGGAATTTGGAATGGTATTTTGAATCATTCAGGATGAGATGTAAGTGCTCTGCACTGTACAACTGCTCGGCTCGCTTCTCCAACCAGAATTGGCTCGCATCGCGTTCTTCTATCGGCTTGGCCTCGCGATTGATCAGGTCCCAGGAATTGGGGTCATCCTCATCGTTCAAATCCGTGTTGAGGATATCGATCTTGTCCGGACTCGGGTCCTGCAAGTGTGCGACAACGTCATGTGACAACTTCGTGGGCGCGGCGGGAATATCGACCAGGATGGAACCCGTCGGCGATTGCATTCTGTTGGGTTGTGGAAAGTCTGGGATGTCTGCTGGACCTTTGATGGTTGGTCCTGTGATTGATTCCGTTTCAGTCGCGGGCGTGCTGGCCACAGGAGATATTGTTGGCGATCGTGCACCCCTAGAACGACCCCTGGGCCGGGAATTGGTGGCCGAAGAGCTATTTTGGCTGGCCCTACTGTAAACAACCGTCACATGTCAGTATAGACATCAGACGCTGGTCGCTCCAATCTTGGCTAAATCCCCGTACCTGGACATGTGTTTTGTGCGCCCTCTAAATGAAGCTGATCGATCCGGCAGAAGCAGATCGTCTTCAAAACCTGGAAATCCTGGGAGCAAGATTTCGTTCTGCGTACTGTTAGTCCTTCGAACTTTCTCCCGCAGAAAGTCGCGCGGTGCGTCCGTCTCCTCCTTGGGAAACAATCGATAGGTCGCAGAGTCTCTTGTTGTGCTCGAGACCCTCGGGGAATGCGGCGTGTCCTTCACGGCGCTCGACACCCGTTGGGGCACTGGCATCGGCGTGTAGGGTGGCACCTCTGGGATTGCTGTAGAGAGAGATGTCAAGGCATCCAGAACCAAAGACTCTGTCGAACCTTCGGCGATCGGGTTGGGCGCAATAGATGATGCTCCGAAGCGAGTGTTTGGTGGCTTTTGTGGCATCATGAATTAAAACAATGGTTCTTGGATAGATGGACAGAATGGCAGTTTACCTACCAGCGTATACCGTGTTTCCTTGTCCCCGGCAGGCGAGAAATCACTGCTCACATGGTGTTGCGAGGCATGGCGTGGATGTCTCCAGCGGCCGAACTTCTGGAGCAGCTTGACCGAGGGACTGAGTGGATGTGATGTGTCCATGGCGATTCAGAGATGGATGCGGAAACAACCCATTCGCAGTTTGTAGTTGGGTATGCGACTTGCAGACAAGAGTAGTGTGTGAAGTCATATACACAGTTGCTGCTGAACTCCATTGAGGTTGGACAGGGGTGAACTGCTTGCACCTGGGCCTAGCCTGGGCCCCCTGTCTCCGTAGTATTGCTTTGCAGCTTACGCACTATCCATCGCGCGCTCTGATTCGCCTCCAGTTCTGCCCACGTAGATTGGACACCGACCCTGGTACAATGCCCACGCGTTTGTAGAGAGTGTGCAGTCAACTAGTCCGTCTAGTCATAGTGAATTACCCGCAACATGTCCAGGATTATAGCGGCTCGAGACGCTGTCAACAAAACTCACAGGCTACCAGCGCCAGTCTATTCCTTCTCTTGATAGAGGAGAACCCGGTCGATGGCACGGATCAATTGGAGCAGTCAATCAGTGTTTTGGCCGGCGATCGAAGCATTGCGACAAGCGTCTGAAGTGTGCCCGACTAAAGGGGGCAATGGAATTTGTATGATTTCTCCTCATCCTGACCCAGTGCTCTGGAACTACCCCAGCGAACCTCTCGTTGCTCTGGGATGTTCACACGTTGGATCGGCATTCGGAGCTTGTCATTTTTATTGTTATCATTTTTATTATTAGCTCTTGATTGCAGCTGCTCAAAATCCACCACTTGCCTTAGCGAGCGCGAGAGATGAAAAAAGTATATGGAACGTATCGCATTTTGTAGTTAGAGGTGGTGCGAAACCGAAAAGATGGCTGACTGGACATTCGATTGGGCATTCCGTGGAGCAAATCGCCATACAGACAGGTCCTCCAGCGGATACCAGGGCCCTAGTCGCAAAGTACATGTAGTCTGTAGCTAAGCAATCGCTGCTAGCTGCACAGACTATCGAAAATGCAGGGTCGGTCGCCTTTGCCGTCTGACGTCTGCCGGATGTTGATGACGACGGTGAGAAATTGAAGAATGAATGTCTCGTAGCCCTGCTAGCAATCTCCTCGCGTATCGAATGTCGATATTGAATGGCGATATTGTGATGCGCAGACAACAAGTGACTCGTCGCCTTGGTGGCAATACCTGATTCTCGGATACTACCTCCTAGTGCGTGCAGTAGTGAGATGCAGCGACATCAGCGACTCCACTTTCGACCCGTATACGCATCATAAGGGGATTTTTCTGTGTTGGAAGGTGTAGTAAAATATTCCATCCAACATATACCTACTTCTTACGCAGGAGATTTGATCCAGTGTCGGCCTCCGAGCGTCCGAGTTCAGGCCGAGACACTCATCAGACACCACTCGCATTATTTTATGCACAGATAGGAGATTTTGGTGGTGACAAGATCCGGAGCATCCATGATACAGAGCACCAGGACTGACTGATCAGCTAGAACGTAGAAGTGATAGTTTGGCGACCGGAAAACCATATCGTGACTTTTCTTATTGCTCTTGTTGTGATTTGGCAGTTGGTGACTTCTCAAGCAGGATTGCGAGAGGAGCCCAAAATGCTCCAGGTCACCCCAGGGACCCGGACTCCCGTGAGTGAGCCACCTCATGATTGGACATGATTATCTTCCCCTTCGACTTGGAGACTCTGCGTGCTGGAGAGTATAGCCGCAGTACATTCGAGGTTCCCACTGGTAGGTATGTAGGGTCGACTCCCAGACGAGATGCAGAACGTGAGTATTGGGGTAAGGCGAAGCGAGGCGATCCACGGCGTGCTGCTTCTGTTCGTGATCGGGCATGCTAGCCTCTGGACGAGGGGGGTCACCAGCGGAGGAGATGGTCGCTGCAGGATCGCCGTCGCCGTCGCCGACGAGGTATGGGACGAGGAGGAAGAGGAAGGGAGGGAGGGAGGGAGGTGAGGTGTTGAGTACGAGAGAAAGAGGAAGACGGCGGTTGATGAAACAGTGCCCGGATCCAAATATCGTACGAAGCTGCTGCCAAGACTCGAAATCGCTCGCCTCGTTTTTGTCACATCACATCTAGGTCAGGTAGGTAGCCTAGTAACTTACATATATTCCGTCTTCACGATGCGTCTGCACCTTCGTATGCAGATCAAACATACACCTACCTTGCCTAGGTATGTATATACTTGACTTCATCCCCTCGTACTTTGCATTCCTGCTTCAGCTTACGAAAACACGAATACTACCTAAGGTAGGTAAGTAAAATAGCGTACCTAATTCACATATTTAGAATCTCCGTATCTTCTAGGTATCAGCAGATATATCGTATAGGAGATAGCTTTATATCGATCTTTGATAGCAATACTACATGTAGTCTTACTCTTTACTCTTCCCTTAGAAGCGTACAGGCAGCGATCGTTAGGTATTACCTATCAAGATCCTGCTTATACACGCACGTATATACTCCTCCAGGTACGCATACAACCGCAAGATATATATTACTCTTTTTTGAACTCGACACTCCTACAAATCGCCTTTTTTTCGTTATCCTCCTCCTCCTCCTCCTCAATCAGTACAATTCTACAACTCCCCAACTCTACATATTCCAACTCTCCAACTTTCAGACTCCAACTCTCCAACTCTCAGACTCCAACTTTCCGACTTTCCAACTCTCCAACTCTACCTCCTACAAACCTACCAGGCCCAATCCTCCTCCTCCACTCCTCCTACAACATGCAGCATCGCTAGACCCAGCAAAACCCTACCTAGGTTCATGTAGACAAGGACCCAAGAACCCAAGGTACCTACAAGCTCCAAACTCCAAACTCCAAACAACAAAACATCCTCAACAACATCCCAACCTACCCACGTGGTCCACATCCCTCCATTTCTTGCTGCCCAATAGTTTTATTTCCTCAAAAAAGCAGAAAAGAGGAGTTAGGGTTACTCCGAGACGTTCCAGTTCCAGTTCTTCTTCAAAAGAAAAAAAGGTTTACTGAAGTCTGTGAGGAACCAACAACATCGGCCATATCGGATCGGCAATGATTGCTATTGCCGATAGGGGGTGTTACCTTACCTTTCTACCTTTTACCTTCTATGGTTCTACGGTTCTAACTACCGCAGTCAGGTTCAGGCAGACAGACAGGCTCAGGCAGGCAGGCAGGCAGGCTCAAGTCAGGCAGTCAGGCTCAAGTCAGGCTCAGTGATGATGAAAGCCTTGGAAAGGACTTTTGTTCATAGGCCAATTCGGATATGAGGGGTTAGGTAAGGTACCTTATTGAGATTTCCGATAAGAATGAATGAATTAATTAATGGATTGATCAATCAATCGATCAATCAATCATTCAATCAATTTATCGTGCATACACGATAGGTGGTTCTGGACCATATACTTGGCTAGATAAGGTCGGTACTGACTTGCTTCCATAATAAGTTGCAATATCAATTTCATCAATCAATGCTCTGAGTTATAGTCTCATGTATACGAAGGTGCCTCAATACCCGACACAAGGCTATCCACATCTCTTTAATGCTCACCCTCTTCCATACTCTGTATCATGACCTTGATCCCACCCTGTTTCGGGTCGGCAGCGACCTTGAAGGCATCAATGGCATCTTCTAGCTGGAATCGATGGGTGACGAGTTTCTGCAAATCAATGACACCTCCATTCAACAAGCGAATGGCTCGAGGCCAGGTATTCGCATAACGATACTGAAACTGCAAGTCCACCTCCCGCGTACTCAATCGCATAAAGGGGATTTGGATCTCCGTTTTCCCCACTCCAATCACAAAGACCTTGCCTCCAAACTTGGCTGCGTGGATGGCTCCGCTGATGGAGCTTTCGACTCCTGTGCATTCCATGACCACGGCGGGCTCCACGCCATCTGCGAGGCTGACGACGGCTTCGGCGAATTGTTGGGGGGTATGGCTGAAATCTACCTTGTGCGTTCGCACAGAAGGGCAAAATTCCTTTGCAAACTTGAGTCTTCCTTCGTCAATGTCCGTAATCACAATCGGCTCCGCTCCTGCAGCTTTTACGCAGGCTAATGTCACTAGACCGATGGGTCCTGCTCCACACACCAAGACTGAGTCTCCCAGGGTGATGTTTGCTCTTTGCATGCCTGCCAAAGCGACACTCAACGGCTCGAGTAATGCGCCGTTTTCATAGCTCATGTTGCCGATCTTATGACACCAGACGGCCGGGTGGTTGACATAACGTCTCAGCAATCCGGGGATCGGCGGTGTGCTTCGAAATTCCACCGAGACGCATCCATTGTATTTTCCCGTCAAGCATGGCTCGCACTCTCCACAGATGATGTTGGGTTCGACGGCCACGCGGTCTCCGATGGCGTGCGAGGTGACGGAGGGGTGTTTGGCGACAATGATACCGGCGGATTCGTGGCCGAGGATGTGTTCGCCTTCGACAATCATGGGTCCTATGCAGCCTGCGTGCCAGAAATGGACATCGGAACTGTGTTTGGCGTGGTTGTTTTGTTAGACCATGTCCCCGCAACCATGAGCGAGGAGGACACGAGAGAACTCACCCGCAAATGCCGGTGCTCTTGATTGCAACAGTGACCTCGCCGGGCTTCAGAGCATCGCCCGTCTCGACTTCATCTTTGCTGGGCAATGCGTCTGCTATCCACAGATCGTGGGCAGGATTGGTGTAGACTCCAATGTTGGGTTTCCCGGACGCGATTGGGGTTGTGGTGGTGGTGGTGGTGGTCGACATGCTGTTGATGGATCCGGTGGGGAGAAGAGATTCGTCGACCTGTTTCATGGTGAAGAGGAAGAAGAAGAAGAGGAAGAGGAAGAGAGAGAGAGAGGAAGAGAGATGAAAGAGATGAGAGAGCAGCAGGGCTCAAACTAGGTCTTACCGGACGGCAAAGAAGAGAGAGAGAGAGAAAAGGCAAAGGCAGTCGGAGTGCCCAGATGATCCATGTCTCTTTCGCGGCGTCGTTGTCGGCGGTTATCATGATTCGCATCAAGAGAGTGTGGACAATCTACGCAAAATCATCCGGACATGGCCCCAGGCAGAAGGAAGGTGTATCCACCTGCTGGAGATGGGCAGTGAAGAGAGATAATTTCTCCGCGAATCGTGTGCGGGAGGGTGAGAGGTGGGGGGTGGAGGGGTGGAGGGGCGTTGGCAGCAGCCGGGAAGTAGCAGAATAGAGTTTTCACGTGCTGGTGTTGGCGGCTAAAGTGAAGAATGCCCAGTAGCTTGTGCAGTAGCTTATGTCAGTCAAGCTGTTGTCCAGTCTGTATGCACTATGGTTGGTATGGATGTAGTCAGTAAAGTAATAGGTACTTGTACCATCGTATGCTGTAGCTCGATGCGAAACAGTCAGAAGAGTGTTTCAAGATACGAACGAGGTCAGGGAAGCTCACTTCACCACGCAGCTCATATTCTGGTGGTCCTGTCTGTGCCATCCACACTCGGCAGAGGCTGGACTGCTGAACACAGAAGAGACAGGAAGACAGAGAGAGACAGAGAGAGAGAGAGACAGAAGACGCGACGTGAGGAAGATAGGCGCGTTTTCGTGTCGTTCTCGTGTCGTGTTAGTGTGTGGCTGCGTGGCGTGGTGTGGCGGGGAATGGCGTGGCTGTGGGTTCGGTGTGCGTTGTGCTTTTCACTGCTTTCACAAGTCTAACGAGGAGGGACAGTCGTCTGAGTGGCTGATATGAGAGAGAGAGGGAGAGAGACAGTTCACACTACTGAGCTTAGATAAGTACAACGGGAGAGTCGACAGGGCGTCTTCCCAGTTCTCGCTCGACCTTTCATCCATACCTACCTGTATTGACCTTACTGACCTTACCTAGGTACATGTAGGTACCTGACATGTAATACCATCATCAGCCTCCATCATGCCCTCCACTGCTCATCCTTTTCATCCACCTCTTCCTCATCCTCCTCCCCTTCCCCTTCTTCTCCATACCACTAGATAATCTATCCTCTCCAAAATGGGCGACCTCCGCTACCGTCTCAGCCTCACCATCCTCAACATCTTCTTCCCGCCTCTCGCCCTCCTCATCGTCTGCGGGCCGGACATGACCTTTGCCGTCAACTGTCTCCTCTACATTTTCGCCATCATCCCCAGCCACATCCACGGGTTATACGTGAGCTGTGTGTATTTCCATCGCAGACGCAAAGTGAGTTATATCCGTTCTCTCTCTCCACTGGTATGGGAGTCGCACAGAAATTGAAATATTCAATAATACCTGATTCAATCCAATCTAACCTCCACGGTACCCACCCACAGGTCCGAAAAGGTCGATATCCCGGAAGTCAGACCAAAGCCCTGATTTACTCGCCTCACGTGCTAAATGGAGGTGCGAAGCAAAGTCTGGTGGATTCACTGTATTGGGCGGAAAAGGAGAAGTCTCCAAGAAGCTAGCAGCTTTACCTACCTCACCTTACTATGGATCCCGAGCACCACCACCACCACCACCAGTACCTGATAAGGCATGAGGTGGTACCTTCCTAGGAGACTGGAAGCTCAAAACCAACCAGCTTTAATTTTTCCCTCTTTCTCGGGCAATTAACGACTTACGACTTACGACTGATTCCCGGCGTCGCCGGATGTCCTTCCTTCCTCATAGACCCTCAAAACCATGGATGGCCCAGGTACCTTATGCGCACCTCCCTCCCTCCCTCCCTCTCTCACGAAACACGGTCCTGAGGAAAAGTCAAAAATCTTTCCAAATGCATGCAACCCATCCATGAATCATCATCATCATCATCATCATCAACAACAACAACAACACAGGATCAAGTCATGAAGCAATGAACACTACATATGCCTAAGTCGCGAGGAGAAAACATATATATACATGTGTCTTCTTCAGCAGGCAGGAAGAGGACAGAGAGGGTCAAAAAAAGAAAGAGAAAAAAAGAAATGCGCACGCCAGTACATACATACTCGTCTTTCTGGTCCGTACCCGCCCGGCCGGCCGGGCGACATCTAAAACGACCACGGCTCTCATGCTCATACTCTCCCACTTTCCATGGTACGGTGCCAGGAAAAAAAAATCTTTCGAGAAATGTAGTCATCGTCTGTTTCCGCAAGACATGGGAGAGAAGAAAGATACTTTCTCTGTGTGTGTAAGAGGTACCACCGAATAATTACTTGTACCTGGTAGTGTACTTACTATATCAATCCCCATCATCATCCTTTCATCTCTGAGAACCACAACTCCTCCCACCCACCTTTTTTGCCAGTCCCAGAACAAAAAAGAGAAAACACCTCTGCAAGACCAAATCAAAAGAGAAAACACCTCTGCAAGATCAAATCAAAAGAGAAAACACCTCTACAAGATCAAATCAGAAGAGAAAACACTTTCGCAAGATCAAATCAAAAAAGAAGAAACTCTTTGCAAGATCAAATCAAAGATCTCCTCCCAAAAGAAATCTCCAAAAATGGGCAAAGGAAAAGGAAGATCCCGACACTCGACCAACAACAACAACAACAACAAGAACAACAAAAGCCAACACCCACCTTCTTCTTCCAACTCCAACTCCACCATATCTCCTCCTCCCACCACTACCACGACCACGACCACCACCCCACCATCCCGCCTCCGCCTCCTCCCCCGCGAACTCCGCGACAAAATCTACGAATCCATCTGCCTTGCCCCCAACGACTCCACCTTCACCATGCCCTCTCCGTCCAGCATCTGCGGATTGGGCCGCCAAATGGGCGCAGAACTCATGGAGACCTTTCATCGAGAAATCCTGGCTCGCAACGAAGCCGAAATCATTCTCCTTCCTCGCACCAGAAAATACCACATCTCGTGGTCATTCGACACCACCCTTCCCCCCGACGCGGAACCTTGTGTGCACATTACATTGCCCGTACAGGTGTGGCGGGAAGGTCCATGTCGTGTCGCTCCCGATACCATAGGAAATGGAGAAGGACCGGACAGCACAAAGGCGTCCATCTGGCGCGAGCCTGACAAGAGTGGAGGAGAAAATGGACGAGCCTGCCAAAGAACTACATGTAATAAAGACATGCCGAGCGCCAATGCGAGAATGCTGTTCCTCGATTGGTTGAATCAGCGCGAGAAATCGGTTCCGCCGAAGAGAAGGAAATATGTTCAAGAATTGAAGAGTTTGCTGGTGGATTTCAATAACGGTGTTTGTACAAGCAAGAGGTAGATAGTACCAAAGAGTCCATGATCAATCATAATCTTCAATATGAATCTTCACCGATCCCGAGCTACGATCCGCCGAAGCAGCCAACGCCTGATCCGCTTCTTCGAGCCGAAAGCGATGCGTGACGAGCGGTTGTAGATTAATGACTTTGTGTTGCAACAGTCGAATTGCAGCAGGCCACGAGTGATGGTAGCGATTGATGAATTTGAGATCAATCTAGAGATAGAGGTGCAATGTAAACGTTAGACGTTAGCGAGGAAGAATGGCGAAAAGAATGATGACGGGATGAGTGGAAGAAAAACTCACCTCTGCAAGTGAAATGTGCATAAATGGCAAATCATTCATCGTCGGTCTCCCCACTCCAATCACCATAACTTCTCCTGCTGCTCGGGGCATGTAGCATGCCGTCACTACACTCGACTGTACACCCGTACATTCGTACACGACTCGTGGTTGTTCTCCTCCGGCATCCTCGAGAACTTGCACAATCTCCTTGCCCGTCTCCTCTGCAGACTTCTTGGGATCGATTTGGAACGGCACACAACCTGGAATGAACTCTGCGGCGAGTTTCAATCTTCCCGCATCCAGATCTGTCACTACAATGGGTGCGGCACCGGAAGCTTTGGCGACTGCGAGAGCGCACATTCCGATGGGACCTGCGCCGCAAATGACCGTGGCTTCGCCGAGTTTGATGGGACTACGTTCGAAGCCGTGCAAGACCACACTGAGAGGTTCCAGTAAAGCTCCATCGGAATATGAAAGAGCGTCGGGTAGTTTATGTAAGTAAGCTGCGGGGTGAGAATGCCATCTTCTGATACTGCCCGCGTGAGGAGGTACTCCCGAGAAAGCCACGTCAGAGCAGAGATTGTAGTTTCCAGTTGAACATTGGTAGCAGTTGGAGCAAGGCACACCAGGCTCGATGGCTACGCGATCTCCGGGCTTCAGATGTGTAACAGAGGAGCCGGTCCAGACGACTTCGCCTGCTCCTTCGTGGCCGAGACAGTGGTCGTTCTCGACTTTGAGAGGCCCAATACGGCCTGTATGCCAAAAGTGCACGTCGGAGCCGCAGATGCCATTGCAACGCATTCGGACTACGCAGTCTGTTGGACGTGGGTTGAGAGGAGGGGAGGGTCCCATGAATATTTCGTGTTTCTCGTTGGTAAATAGAGCTGGATTTGAGCCGGATGGCGTAAAAGTCGATGATTCGATATTGGAGCTTGTGCCATTGGAGCTTGTGCCATTGGCGTTTGTGCCATTTGCTTTTGTGCCATTTGCGGTGTCCATGCCAGCGGTATGGTCGACACCGTTTGTGCCATTCGAGAGCTCAATGCCTTCTGCTGGCGGTCTCGCCGGCTGTTCGACCATCATGATCTGCGCGCGAGAGTGGGTAGTGTATGTGGAACTTGGCAAGCAGGATCCTTGAGTGCTGTGTAAAATTAAGTGCCTTCTCCGTCTACAGTCGATTAATGGGAATAGAATGTGATGAGATGAAAGAAAAGCAGAGCTCTAGGAAGTGCGCAGCTCGATCTACCTGCCTGCTTATACCTGCCTGCTTCCAGAGAGCACACGCGTTGACGTGTGAGACGTGGACGCCAGGCTCAGCACCTTCCAGCTTTTTGCCCGTGCCCATCTTGTGCCAATGGCACTATGTCAGATGCTGGCTGCTGGAAGGACGGCTGACGGCTGAGCAGCTCGTTGGCAGTTGCCGATTCCGGCGGCACGGCTACGCGTTGCCAATTTGATCAAAAAGGGAAGCCGAAGAAATCGGAGCCTGGGGAAGCAGTCCGACCATCGCCAGCATACCCATACCTCCTCTTTCTTCTGCCACGCTGTCTTTCCCAGGACGACCACCTGCACGCGCAGAGACTTTGGAGTGGTACTTCACTCGGATGAGCTGCGAGCGACGAGGCGGAGGCAGGCCGCAGGTGGGCGTGGTGCGGGTGCGAGCGAATCGGAGGGCGGCTGATGAGCAGGATCTGAGAAGCGGCGAAGGCCTGGTACATGTACATGTATTTCGTTGTCGCAGGGCGTGGCTCGACAGCTTATAAGAAATACTGGGCGGACTGGTGAGGGATATGTTGGCAAGGAAGCTTTCTCCTACGTGTACCTGGTCGGTAGTGGTGCCTGCCTGTCTCTAATGGCGGTGTGTGACCTTCCCTCGGTCGCAGCGCATAAGAGGAAAGAAGGAAGGACGATCGCGAGTGTGGGGAGACGGACGTTCGCGACTTCCTCGACTACACTACACCACCTTCAGAGACTACCCAAGGCAGTTAGGTACACATCCTCCCATGTCCACTGTTGCATAGTGGCTGTACAGGATGTCGGCCTATAGAGCGGAGTCACAACAACATTAATAAGGTACATGCACAATAATATTACCAACTGCACCCATCACCAGCCCTCCATCGTTCATCCTGTTTCTTCCTCCTAGACATCATTTAATCGATGCACCACAATCCCAAGCAGCATGTCCCGTCGTAGCAATAACATATAGTGCGTGCATCTCGCATAGGGCCGGGAAAAATGAAATGAAAAATAAATGAAAAAAGTCCTTTCCTGCACCCTCCCCCCCAGCCATTATAACACTGTACATGTACCTTACACATGTACCTGATCACTCCCCATTTCCCAGTCTAGGTCTACCTAGATACCGACCGCAAATCTCCAATTGATAACAACAGTAGGTACTGATATTGATTCCTTACGATTTTCTTTTTTGGCGGAATCTGCGCCATCGGTCAAGTCCTCCTCCTGCTGCTGCCCCGGCATGCGATAACAAAACATGTAGTGACCTTCTGGAGGGGCTATACTGTCCGTTTTGACAGACTTCCGGAAATGGCGGCCGGATGGGGTAAATTCACTGATATGGGTTGAGAAGAAGTTTCTGGATAGGTACCGTTTTCTTCTTGATGCTTCACATGTCCAGCTGGCATCATTAATTTCAACATCTTTATTCTTTACGCTGGACCAAAGGTTGTTGCTGCTGCTGTTCCGTCTCAGGCTTGGGCTTAGAAATCTTGTCGACTTCCTTGGTAGTCTTGAACCCGATATTTCCATCTTCCTTGAGTCCCCACTTATTCACTTCCTGCCCGGTAATGACTCTACGTTGTAGATGAATCTCCACCACCCGTCTACCCTTCCTCTTCCCCTTCAATCCATCGTCGTCTTTATCAAAATAAAGCGCCCATTCTCCCGGCTTCTCTTCGACAGCGACAAACCCTTCGAATTCATCCAGAGTAACACAGCTATCATTATCTTCACTCGTCCAGTCAAAGCTCCCAACATGATGCGCAATGGACCCCGAACGCGCCGCAAACTTGCATTCATACGTGTCCTTGTCCACATATATCCAGTTAAGCATAGGCGGATCCACACTAATAGTGCTCACCAACCCTCGCGTATAGCTGCGATTATCATCCGGATATGCAAGATAAAATCCCGTAAAAGGATGATGTCCTACATGAGCAGGATCTCCAGATTCAGGATTTTTGGCTTCCACCCAGACTTTGGAGTCGCGCATAGTCACAATCCCACTCCTCAACTCGGGGGGTGCCAGGCCGTTTTTCGAATCCTCTCCGTCGTCGTCGTCGTCAACCCATGTATCGAGATGGAATTTGAGCATTCGCGTCTGGTTGGAGGAATCGGCGTTGACTTTTTTTTGCTCGGATACGCCTTGTGCTACGCCTGTTACGACGGATACTCCTGTTGCTGTGACAATGGGTAGTGCTGTCATGAGTCCGAATACGAAATCCATGTTGAAGATAAGATGAGAGGTTGAGAGAAGCTGAGTTCTGCTGGACTTACATTTTGGAAGGACTACGGTATAGGTGCTGTCGACCACTACTATACTAACAGTCAAGTCGCATGAAGCAGAACTTGATTCTTGACATGGATGGCGACGTTATGTGTCGTCATGTGTGCAAGGGGCGGAGACGCATCCGAGAAGTCTAATATACCTATCTATCACTTCACTTCACTTCAACCATTACGTCCATCCAGCCCAAGCTTCTGAACCCCCTCGAACAAGTATCCTCATTCTGACTAGACAGCATAACCCGCAATCGCGATACGCGAACGTTCAATGAAGCCATAAGCCTCGAATCTACTCGAATCCGTCCAGCAAAGAAAAAGGCGGTCACTCTAAAATGAAATCACGACCTCAAGACTTCGAACGCAGAGTATTCGCAGCATGTGGATTTTTCAACCATCCACTCGCAAGTTTTTCATTCAAATCCAATTTACGGGGGTCTGCATATCACGGGCATCATCGTTGAGCAAATAAGTACTGTGCCGTTGGAGGGCGGGCTAGTTACCACCAGCGAGAGAGAGAGAGAGAGAGAGAGAGAGAGAGAGAGAGAGTA